AGGGGAAGCTCAATGTGAAGACGATTACGGCTGGTAGAACGGTTAAATAATCGGAGCACGGTGGTCCCATCGTCTCGATGACAGGCCCTGCCAAAACACGTGTTAAATTCGTTACCTTCCAGCTTTCGACTGGTTTTATCCATCACAGTGTCATGCGAACTAATGAGTTAGTAGAATGCAACCAGCACAGTCATGGACTCGGAATTTAACGATCTCAATGGAGGAGAACAGAAAGGCTTGGAAAATTAAACTGAGAGTACGAATGAACAGAGATGAAAGTCAAGGAGGTAGACGTGTGTATAGACGCAAGGCCGATCAAAATCAGTAAGTGGAAGTGGACGAAGTAAATAAGATGGTTATGGCCACATGAACTAACACTGATTGGGTGAAGAAAAGTTATCTTCAGCTCCAAATAAACTATCGAGCAACGAATTTTCGTTCCGACTTCTCCCGACCAAAAAAATCCAAACCTGTCACAGGAATGCCGCCAATCTCGCACACGGATGTCACGTGAATGTTAACCCTAGAAGTACCAAATTGCGGACACACATCTAATAAAAATAGTTCACTCGTTTTTGCACTTTAGCGGCCTTCTTCGGACAAACGAGAGATTAAAAAGCAGAACCTTCTAAGGTAAAGGTAGAGGGAACATAAAAGCCAGCTTCAGACAGGGCGTAGAAAGCTAGAACTCAGGAAGGTAAACAATCGACCGAAAAAAGAGGGTAAGCCGATCAGCCACAATCGAACTATTCCGTGAATTAATAACCACTGGACAAACCTGAGGCTCTGAGATCAATCAGTGAACTATGTAATGCGCGCATGACTGATAAATGGATAGGAGCTATGCAGCTAGTTTAATGGAGATGAGTCAGGTTTATATGAGACCAATGCTTGGGTGTTAGAAACACGGAAGTTCAGTTGGCCGAAATAAAGTTGCGTGGAAGAGACCTAAAAACATGAGTGCGAGCGCAAACAGAATGTTGTGATAAATGAATGCGGAACAGAAGGACGAGAAAAAGGCGCTGAGACAAAGTGTAAAAAGCATACCGTGAACGTTAACGCATCGAAGATGTAGACTGTGCCCACTCGGCTAGACCCAGGATAGGCGAGGAGGCATTTGTCCGGACAGGTGGAGAATGCGATAACGCCGTTTCGGTTTGACGGCGTGTCCTCTATCCGATGCAGCACCGACATGTCTCTGATGTTGTGGATGAAGATCTCATTCTCCAGACAAACTACCAACCGCTACAGTGAAAGGAAAGATTTTGTTATTATCTCAGCAAACTGCTTCAAGAGTTTATCAAGCGGAGGCAACCACCACCCGTTGCAACCCCAACCCAGAGTTTAAAAGATCTGGAGTGAACGCGAAACTATGCAGACTTCATCAAATCATCCTCATTAACAGTTCACAGACGCTACAAATTCAATTCAAGCGTACATGTCTGAAACACCTTCAAAAATGACAGAGTGGGAACTAGGACAAAATTAGAAGCACTGGTTGAGAGTCTCCGCATTGTGTTCCATACAAGACGCCATAAAATCACAACCACAATTTGTACATTGTTTGCATCATTTGAAGGGATACGACACGACAAATAAATATGCAGCACTACCAAGTATCAGAACTCGTACCACTATAGAGCAGCTACTTAAAACTTAGTAAAAAAACTACCTTCTTTATGGCACATGGAATAAGCCCGAGGAGAGACCTTAGGTAAATGCAAAAAGAAAAGATAAATAAGAGCCCAAATGGAACAGAAATGTTCGTTTTTTCCTTTCCATTGATACACAGAGAAGACCGATTCGTGTACGAAACTTATTTCAAGATGAGATTGATTTGGGACTCCGTAACACGACCTAGGTGAACGCCAACGTCGTAACCCACCTGTTATTAATTAGGCGTGACCTTGTTGTCACGAGAATGAGATTTCATCATCCCAATCGTGACATGAGGTTACGTTTTGGGGTAGTGCAGGCATTTTGCTCAATCTTGGAACTAGAGTGACACTTCAGGAATAGGACAAAATAATAGAGAACCAAGCACCAAAAATTAATCGAAGGAACCAAGCTTCCATCGTAAGGAAACCTCTGCGCACGCAGGTTCTTTAGAGAGCTCTGGAGAATTATTAGAGTAGCACATTCTCTTACTAATCAAACACTTCAAACAACCATGTGGAACGACAAAGAACATTTGAACGACTCAAAACTATTGATCGGTTAGCCAAGATAGCTTCGTTTTAGGGGGCACCGAGATACCTATACACACCTACCAGAGGAGGACTGTTCTGACAACTACAATGCTAGCCAATTTTCGTAAAACCTAGTGAACTGCTATCGAAAGATATTATTAGTGCATTACAGGCAAGATAAAGCTCAACAGTGAGACAAATTCAGCAATTTGAAATCATTCTAATAAAGTGGCCATAGTAGTCAGCACTTTTACATAGAATCTAGGCGTTCAGTTGGAGACAAAGACACCAACAGTAGCGAACCCACCTGGCGATTCATTTTTACGGAAAGGATGGTGTTTGTATAACGGTAATCACAGATAAGGGAATCACGACGCGAGTGGAAAATCAGCAGTTTGCGCGTATCGCGGAGAGACACAAGAACGACCAAGTTACTGGTAAAGAGGCGGCTAACGAGACACATAGACTCACCATCTGAAACAACAGGGCGCGATGTTCGGAAAGTAATGCAGTAAAAACTTACTAACACTATACGTCTCTAGGATCTCATGGTTGTCTGTCGATAGCAAACTGTAACCAGATCGTGTTCCAATACAAAGTGTCCTAAAACGAAGGTGAAGTAAAGCAGAGGAGAACATAGAAGCACTAAGTAGGTCACCAAACATATCATACTACAATAATTAAACCAAACGAACGCGTCTAACCGAAATTAATGGAAGAGTGATCACATAGAAACACACAGCTTACGTAAAATCCTGATTAAAGTCAATGAATAGGATAGGTAGATCTTCAAGCATGGTGCTCGAGACACCCCCGGCCATAGCTTCACCTTATAATTCCGTACCCTTCGACCTTTGGAACGACGATTTAAAAGAAGCCGTTTGGGATAATTTATTCTAAACTTACAGTTAAAGCTTTTCATAACTTAATTTGCAGTAATATTTAACAATATTTCTGATTTACAAAAATATATGGAAAGTCCATCTTTACTATTTTTCTGCCTACAAAATAAGCTAAGCAACATTTCTACCGATACAGTAGGTGCAGAACCTACCCACCCACCCC